GCGCGCTGGCGCCAGTCTCCCGATGAAGGAGAGCGGACGCTCGGCGGCGCGACCCAGAGCACCGGCGCCCCTGGGGTTCGTGCTGGCGTCACGGCGGTCATTAGAAACGCCTGGTGGTGGCCTGGTGGTGGCCTGGTGGTGGCCTGGTGGTGGCCTGATGGTGGCCTGGTGATGGCCTGGTGATGGCCTGGTGATGGCCTGGTGGTGGCCTGGTGATGACCTGGTGGTGGCCTGGTGGTGGTCTGGTGATGGCCTGGTGATGGCCTGGTGGTGGTCTGGTGATGGTCTGGTGGTGGCCTGGTGATGACCTGGTGGTGGTCTGGTGATGGCCTGGTGGTGGCCTGGTGGTGGTCTGGTGATGGCCTGATGGTGGTCTGGTGATGGCCTGGTGATGGCCTGATGGTGGTCTGGTGATGGCCTGGTGGTGGTCTGGTGATGGCCTGGTGATGGCCTGGTGATGGCCTGGTGGTGGCCTGGTGATGGCCTGGTGGTGGCCTGGTGGTGGCCTGGTGATGGCCTGGTGGTGGCCTGGTGATGGCCTGGTGATGGCCTGGTGATGGTCTGATGATGGCCTGGTGATGGCCTGGTGGTGGCCTGGTGATGGCCTGGTGATGGCCTGGTGATGGCCTGGTGGTGGCCTGGTGGTGGCCTGGTGGTGGTGAACGTCGGAACTGGCGCCGCGGACGCGGTGGCTCGAACAGTCGCTCTTTGGGAGCGCTCGAGATGCGCGGACCCACGCGGGGAAAATGAACGTCTAATATTTGGTCTCGGTGAAAATTGCGACGGAGCTAATCCCCTTATCAAATGCAATCTAGCATGATTATTGAGCAGGCAGTCTGTGTGTGCGCGAGCGCGCGTGTACGTGTGCGCGGGAATGATTTTGGTTTTGGGGCAAGGTGCTGCGTTGATTTTCGCATGAAGGTTGCGCTCGATGCGGGAGTCGAGGTTGGTGGGTGTGGGCAGGATGCGCGAGCACAAATCGGTGCCGGACAATGATCAACAGAGGATGAGCTTGGGGTGCAGTGGCGGTGTGTGTGTGTGTGGTGTGTGTGTGTGTTGTGTGTGTCTGGTGTGGTGTGTGTCTGGTGTGGTGTGTGTCTGGTGTTGTGTGTGTCTGGTGTGTGTGTTGTGTGTGTCTGGTGTGTGTTGTGTGTGTCTGGTGTGTGTTGTGTGTGTCTGGTGTGGTGTGTGTCTGGTGTGTGTGTGTGTCTGGTGTGTGTGTGGTGTGTGTGTTGTGTGTGTCTGGTGTGTGTTGTGTGTGTCTGGTGTGTGTTGTGTGTGTCTGGTGTGTGTTGTGTGGTGTGTCTGGTGTGTGTGTGTTGTGTGTCTGGTGTGTGCGTGTCTGTTGTGTGTGTGGTGTGTTTTGTGTGTGTGTGGTGTGTTGTGTGTGTGTGTGTTGTGTGTGTCTGGTGTGTGTGTTGTGTGTGTCTGGTGTGTGTGTGTTGTGTGCGTCTGGAGTGTGCGTCTGGTGTGTGTCTGGTGTGTGTCTGGTGTGTGTGTCTGGTGTGTGTGTGTGTGTGTCTGGTGTGTGTGTGTGTGTCTGGTGTGTGTGTGTGTTGTGCGTCTGGTGTGTGTTGTGCGTCTGGTGTGTGTCTGGTGTCTGATGTGTTCTGTGCGTCTGGTGTGTGTGTCTGGTGTGCGTCTGGTGTGTGTGTGTCTGGTGTGTGTGTGTGTTGTGTGTGTGGTGTGTGTCTGGTGTGTGTGTGTGTGTGTCTGGTGTGTGTCTGGTGTGTGTGTTGTGTGTCTGGTGTGGTGTGTGTCTGGTGTGTGTGTGTGTTGTGTGTGTCTGGTGTGTGTGTTGTGTGTGTTGTGTGTGTCTGGTGTGTGTGTGTGTCTGGTATGTGTGTGTGTTGTGCGTCTGGTGTGTGTTGTGCGTCTGGTGTGTGTTGTGCGTCTGGTGTGTGTCTGGTGTGCGTCTGGTGTGTGTGTGTGTCTGGTGTGTGTGTGTCTGGTGTGTGTGTGTGTCTGGTGTGTGTGTCTGGTGTGTGTGTGTGTCTGGTGTGTGTCTGGTGTGTGTGTGTGTTGTGCGTCTGATGTGTGTTGTGCGTCTGGTGTGTGTCTGGTGTGCGTCTGATGTGTGGTGTGCGTCTGATGTGTGTTGTGCGTCTGGTGTGTGTGTGGTGTGCGTCTGGTGTGTGTGTGTTGTGTGTCTGGTGTGTGTGTATGTTGTGTGTGTGGTGTGTGTCTGGTGTGTGTGTGGTGTGTGTCTGGTGTGTGTGTGTGGTGTGTGTGTGTGGTGTGTGTCTGGTGTGTGTTGTGCGTCTGGTGTGTCTGGTGTCTGGTGTGTGCTCTGTGTGTCTGGTGTGCTCTGTTTGTCTGGTGTGTGTGTGTTCTGTGTGTGTGGTGTGTGTGGTGTGTGTGTGTCTGATGTGTGTGTTCTGTGTGTGTGGTGTGTGTGTGTCTGATGTCTGTGTGTGTGTGTTCTGTGTGTGTGTGGTGTGTGCCTGGGGAGCAGTAGCGCAGTGGTTTACGTGCTGCGCTACAACCCCGACGACCCGAGTTTGAGTCCCACATTGACGATTATCTGAACCGGTCCTGGGCCTCCCTTAGGTTGACTCAGCCTCAAATGAGTATCTGGTGTGGCATGTAAACATCCCCACTAGGGAGACAAAGGCGGTCGGGCGTGGTGCTGGCCACCCACCCCCTCGTGTGCCGTGCTGGCCTTCATAGGTGCTACTCGCTAACAGCACTTGCCCCAACAGTCTGTTCAGGCTATACGGGGGATCTTTATCTTTGCCTGTGCATGTGTCGTGACGGTGTGTTTATATGTATGTGTGATGGTGCCGGTGTGTGTGTGTCATGTCAGTGTGCGGTGGTGGTGGTGGTGGTGCTGCTGCACATGTTGTGGGTGACGTGTGACGCCCGCTCTCCCGTTAGGGAGGCGGGTGAGTTGGCGCGGTAATTGGTCTGCCTCTCCCGAGACCCGGGGCCGGTAATGGCACCACTCGCCCATTTTGCAAGATGAACGCGGCACAGTGCCTGTGACCCGCGGCGTGGGCCACCGTCGGCGTCCGTTAGCGTCGCCCGTCTTCATTTCCCTGATGGAGAGCCGACGAAGGAAATGCCCTCCCCCGCGATTGAGACCGCGGTTGAAGCGGGAGAGACCCGCAACGCGCAGTTAGGGAAAAGGCCACTCTCGCGCGGGAGAAACGCATTCATTAAAGACGCCGCGCGGTCCGCCGACGATTCCTCTTGCCGAGCGCGTCACGGGCTCACTTGCTCGCTTGCGGAACGTTCGTGGTTCGAGGCCCGGCGGCCGCCCCTCGTCCACACGGGTGCATCGATAACTACCGAGTGTATCGACGATAAATATCTGCCGGTTGACGTTAAAACATCCCGTTCACGTCAAAACAAAAAGTGGGCCAGTGTGCCGACGTCGCGGTATGATTTTGCCACGTGAACAAAATGTGCCCCCCCCCCCCTGCAGAGTCAATTAATGGGGTAAAACCACGCAGCACCCTTTACTGGCAGACTGCACCCTCCGCTCTATCGTTGCCTTGCCAGTACACAAGGCAACGGCAGAGCACCTTCGTGACAGGCTCGCGGGTTCCGAATGGGAGCGGGTTCCCAAACGTGCTCGGTCGCAACCGCCGTTGTTATTACGGACGCGCGGGGAGGTTCCCGCGCTAGCTCCGGATCGTGTTGAGTAATCGCGCGATGGGCGCAAGGGGGAGGCATTTGTTCCTCTCCCGGCAACGAGAGCCGCCGCCGCCCCGCCAATGTGCCCTAGGCAGACGCCCTCCCCGCTGCCGCCGCCGCTGCTGCTGCTGCCGCCGCTGCATTATCGGGATTGTAAAGGGGTTCTTTCTCCCAGGGGTATTCAAAACGGGAATGCATTCAGCCAAAGCGCTCCGTTTGAGGCTTCCCCAGGGATGTGCAATTTTGTGATTTGGAGGCCTTTCAGCCTCGCGACGTCTCGGCCGGCTTCGGCCCCATATCCATTGGCACCACCCGCGGTCCCTCGCCCGCTTTTGTCCAGGAATCACGAGAGATGAAGCTGCAGTGGCCGCCTCAGGGGGGGGGATGTATAAACATGGCCGTCGACTGTCGAGGCGGGCGAAATAGAACGGCCTCTGGATTGCACAAATATCTCAGCGCTTTCACCAAAAACGCTGCTTTGAAAGGATAAATATGTAATATAGGTGACAGTCATCTTGCCAAAACAGTATACAGCACATTATCCGACTCTTATCTATTCGATCTCCCTGACCTCTCTATTTATGTGCGACGAAGTACGACCATCGCTTGAAATGTCGACTTTGTTTCACGAACGGTTTGAGTTTTTCCGCTTGGGAATCCCCCAATGCGCCGATTGCCCTTGTAATGGAAGATGGCCGCGTTCTGCCGGATCGGCCTCGTTAATGTGTGACGAATGTAATTAACTCCGCGTGGAGGAAATCTTTACCAATCCGCGTGGATGCACGTGGCAAGCCAGGTGATGTACGTGTGGAAAACAGGCCCCGGCGTGTCGTGGCATTATTTTGTTTCCCGGCCTCGGTATAAACAGCTGGATTGGAATAAAACAAAAAAATAAATAAAGGGCACCACTTAGAGCAAGTGGTGCCACGTGGTTGGCATCAGCCCTGGCGCAAAAATTTTCCTCCCCTTTTATCCATAGCCTGGTGCCCGTGCCTGTCCAGCCCGTGGGCCCCTGTGCAGTTACACCGCCTACACACTTGGAGCCTGTGAGAGTGTCGGCGGGGCTGCTTTAAACGATGACGTGCGTTTGGTGCGGAGGAGGTGGCCGTGGCCATCCCCCACACCTTCACGTCTCCGCGACGCGCTACCGTCGCTCCCTCTCGCTGCTTCTTGACAAAGTGGCGCGCTCCCCCTTACGGCCGATCTTCCGATCTCCGAGAGGGAGGCGCGAGGAGCACCAGGGCCGGGCTCGGAGAGCCAGAGACTTGCCCGAGCTTTGGTGCGTGAGGCTATCATTCTTCCCGAGAGTCTTACGCTTCCTTGTGTCTCCGTGTGATTGTGCGTTCGTGCATCTGCCGCAGGAACGCTGCTGCACTGGCTAAAGCTTCACAAGGAGAAGGTGTCGCACCCCGAGAGCCTGCAGAAGTGAGTGCACGTGTCGGGGCAGAGAGTTTCGTGTGCCCGTACCCTGCAGAGTATCGTCGTGTGTTGTGCGCTGATGACCAAGTCACCAAGGACCCAGGAATGTGCCCGGTCTATGCCAGGTTGAGCCTGGATAGCATTTGCTCGGATGGGTGACCACCGTGCATGCCAGGTTGTTAGGCTGCGGTGTGATATGGTGGGCAGTACAATCTCTTATACTTTACCTGCTGTGTCTATGCTGCCCGCCTTCACCGACTGGCACCGACCGGCACGGTGAAGCGGGCTCAAATATCCGCCACGACCCACAATGCAGTGCGCACTGTACCCAGAGTTATTTGTGCCGTGCCTACCCACAATCCTGTGCGTCCGTGCCCAGGGTGCTGGAGAGCGAGGAGTGCCGGCGGGAGTACATCGTTCTGCTGCCGTTCAACTCGAAAGATCCTCCGGAGTCGGTGCCGGCCAACGGGCGCCGCATCGACTACCTGCTCCACTGCCAGGAGCACACCACCCCGCTCAGCACGCTGGTGAGAGCCGGGCCCGTCAGTGATTCTTAAATGGAGGGGGGGGGGGGTTGGTGAGAGAGAACGATTCTGCTTGGCGAGTTGGAGGAAGGAGGGCGGGGAGACTGTTCAGTGGAGTGAGGAAGAAGAAAGCTCAAATAGGACGGGAAGGGAGGGAGTTTGAGCTGAGGACCTGCTGCTGGACAGAGGTTTAACGACACAGAGAGTTATTCATGTGCAGCGGAAGGCGTGGGGTTGCCTGTGTCTGGCTGACATCTTCAACCTTAGGCATAGGGGCAGCAAGGCTATGGGTGGGTGGGTGGGGGTGGGGGTGGTATGGGGGACACCGTTACCGAAGCACTCGCTGCTTCTGACCACGCTGCCTGGTGCTCCATGCAGGAGGTGGAGGAATTCACCTTCATCACGCAGCTCGCCGGCCTCTCCGACCACATCCCCATCTCAATGAAGATCCGCATCTCCGCCCGCCAGGAGCCCTAGAGCATCCTCGGGGCTGCGTCGGATCCCGCGTCGCCGTGCGGCACAAACCGAGGAGGAATCCCGAGCCGCGGTGCGCCCCCTGAGCTGGCCTAGGCCGAGGCCTGTGGCCCCAGTCTGACCGACCGACCTGCGTACGTCTCGCTATCGACGGCTGCACCTTCCCCGTCGTCCTGGGAAACGCTCTCGCAGATGAACTTTGGCTGGCCTATCTGAGTACGCCGCCGTGATCGATTTCTCGGCAGTTCGCGTGGGATGGAAATAGCTAGGAACAAAAAAAGGTCTCGCCTCCGTGCACCACGTGTGCCGCTGGACGCGAGGTGATGGGTGAGGCATCTTCGGCGGTGGGGTTCGCGCTGCTTGCGTGGCTCGTGGGGGTATTTTGAAGCGGGATCGGGAGCGGCCACCATGTTTAAAGGACCTCGAGTAAACGCTCAAATCAATCGGTCTTTATTTTACGTGCTAATATTGCCCTCGATAAAGTAGGCATCGGTGCATGTTACAGCAGAATGGGGAACGGTACAGGGGGAATGGAACGGCACGAATGTAAAAAAAGACCCGTCACGATAAAAGTGTCTCTTATAACCTCGAGTCCATGAATCGGTTTCAATCTACAGCTAAAAAAATTAATCACGGTGGCAGTAGCGCTCTTGGCTGTTGTGGCGGGGAAGTGCCTCGAGTTTATTTGTAAACTGTGGGGGGGAGTACTGCAAAATCGTGCTCGAATCCAATTAGCGTCGTGCTCATTGCCGGGAGAGTTTTCGATGTGGCCAGTAAATGAAAATTCTGGGCGCCAAAGGAGGCTGCGGGCGACGTCGGATCGTTTTCTACCCCGAGCGCCGTCCCCCCCCCGTGGAGCCGTTTCCTGGATGGTGGCGACGTCGGCTGCCTGCGTTTGCACGCGAGTTTCCCTTTCTTAAGGACTGACAACCGAGTCGATGCAGTTTGATACGGACACGGAAATTGGAACTTTTTTGTTGTTGTTTTCGGCTGCAACTAACCGCTGGCAGTCCGTCGTCGTGGACGCTCGGCTCAGAAGATTGAACGCCGTAGTTTCTTCCCGTCGTCATAGCTTAGGATGAGACGGACAAAGCCAATATTTTTTGACGGCGACGAGGCGCGCGTGCACACACGTACGGTCACGCCTGCGGTCGCAACATTTCTCAGACCTCAAGGTTGGTGTCGAGAGTGGGAACCGCGTCGCGCGGCTCCAAGGCTCGCAGCCCCCGGCGACAGCTGTTCGAGCCGCGAGGACTTCCACCGGGGCAGCTCGTGTTTGGGGTCACTCCGAGGCGACGCGCCAAAACCCGTGTCCGGGATTACGGCGGATTAAGCGCTCCCCCCGCGTCTGGTGGTGCTGGCGGTGGGCGGTTTGGCGGAAAGGGACGAGGGACCCCCCCCCCCCCCCCCCCCCGTGGCTACGGCGTCTCTTAAAAGCCGCTCCTTTCTTGCAGAGTTTGGTATCGTTGTGGGATATTTCATTTTATGCGTACACACTTATACGTCTCTTCCCGCCAGCCCCAATAACCTTAATGCAATCCCGCGCGAGTGCAATTTACATTCCACTTTCGCGGGGGTGGAGGGCTGCTGCGGCGGCGTTTGGGTGCACGGATGGCGAGTGGGCAGTACGCTCGGGGCGCGGTCACGTTGAGAAGCGGCGGTCTCGCGAAATCGTCTGTGGCCCTAAAACGGACGGAGCGAGAGTGCCTGCGCGTGCATGGGAGTTACTGGATGATGCCCGAGAGGGTGGATGAGATCGCATGGCTGTCGAGGCATCCCTGCTTCCCTATGCTTCTACAGGGCCATGTGTCAACATACAAACAGAAATCACCATCACGGGGTCGGGCAAGTTCCGCGCATTTGCGTGAGCAGCTGAGCGGTCGGGTTTAACAGTTTACAGTCGTAAGGGAAGGCTCGTGAGCCTGGAGGGAGCCGTGATGGAGGTGTGATGGTGGGCCAGTCTGTGCCAGCGATGTAGGAGGAGTGACTGTGGCCCGCGGTAAGCCCCCGTGTTGGTTGGTGCTGTTTGCGCTGCTGCTCGGTGTGAACCAGCCAGTAGAGCCACCTGGTGGCCCTGCATGGCATGGAACCGCCTTGAATGCCGTTCTTGCACTTATATTAAGAAGTGGATTCTGATTGGAACCGAGTCTTGCCTGCCGCAATTTTAAGGAGTTAACATTTTTTAGTTTTATCTTTTAATGTGTTGTGATTTTTTCGTTTGAAGTTGCCGTGAAATCCTCGGGAGGGTTGTTTTTCTGGCCTCGAGAATCCGTGCCGAGGATCGTTATTTTATGGTGGCATGGACGCGGACCCCTCGTTGTTTAAATTTATTTTATTAAATTTGACGGACCGAGCTAACCGGTCACTTTCACTCATATCCCTTTCCAATCGGTACATCCGAGCTGTGCCGAGCCAACCCAGCACGCCACAGAAAGCCCTGTTTTTTTTTCCACTGCAGAGCCGAGCCGCTGACGTCGCACACGACGAGCGAGTCGAGAGTTGCACGCAAATGCCGTGGCGACGCCGTTTCCTCACAGTGTACCGACTGACATCGCATACAACAAACATGTCGTTAGCTCTGCCCATGGCCTTGCCGTGCCCCCCCCCCCCCCAAGTTAGATTCGGAGGTCTTCGCGATGCTGGCGTATCACAGATTTGGGTTCGTCTTGGCTCTGCAAATAGCCAGTGGAACACCACGTGCACCGTGAAGGCCCCGTGATGGCGGGGCTCGTGTGTGCTCGTGGTGAAAGTGTATAAGGTAGAGGATCTAGAGATCACAGACGGTTCACAGAGGATCTAAGAGTTTGCAAAAACAAACTGGAGGTGTTGATCAGCCAACGTCCAAACCAAAGCACCGAAACGCGTCAGCGCCCTCCGCGTGTGGCCGTGTGCCCAAGTGTCACGAGCCGAAGCAAGTGATGCCGCGTGGCTCTGTTTCACCGGCACGGGGAGGGGTTGAGGGTGGTTCATGTTGCGAGTGGCGGCTGCTGGCCGTTGTGAACCTCTCATTGCCAAAAAAAAAAAACGCGTCCCGTTGTTTGGGGAGCTGCTAACCGAGGTGCCATAGTGGACTGGGCTGGGCCGTGTGCAGCGAGGCCCAGGGGCGCTCGGGGCTCGCTTTGTGTTATGGGGACTTTTGGGCCGAACCGGGGACTGAACTCGCTATTACGGTCGAGGTGTAAGAAGCTACGAGCAAATACTTTTGGGATGAAAGTGTAAAATTAAAGGGGCATGGTATTTAGGCAACGCTTATATTCTTTTTGTTAAGTTTACATTCTGTAATGTTTTATGGTTTGCAAAAATAAATGGTTTCATCCTAAATGAGCATGTGATTTAGTCGCTAATATGATAATGCCAACTGTTTACCCAGGACATCTCACCGAGCCTCAGGACTTATTATCAAGAGGGCCCTGGTACATTGGGATATTTAGTAAATTCCATCAACTAGAGCTTGGCTTCATTTTGGAGGAAGATTAGAGAAGACACCTGTTAACGCTCATTAATTGGCCAATACACTCCTTCATATACAGAGGACTGAAAGTTTGGGAAATTATTGGAACTGGTCCATCACGTCACTCCCCTCTTGCTGTGGTTCTTCGTGCCTCTGAGTTATTACACGTCTACTTTGCTGACTGAATACTGTGGGGCGTATTATAAAGTTGAAATTATTATTGTGTTGTTTACAAAGGAGTTCAGTCATGCCCCCAGTGATCCTCTTGAGCGGGGAAGGACAAGAACCTTGAAAACATCGGAACTTTGTCCTCCTACTGGGAAAACCATCTTGCCAAACACCGAACAAACGAAATCTATTACCCCGTAGACCAGTCCCAGTCGTTTTGAGACTCTCTTGCAAAACTCTTTGATCTGAATAAGTGCCACCAAGGCGAGTGAACCGATGTAAGACCTCGCAATCGAGACATTTGCCATCTGTAAATGTTTATTTTACAGAGATACCCATCTCCGTCTCTTACGGCACAGCGAATTAGCTTCACCTTGCCGTGTTGGTTTTCTAATTTTCACTCGGTGTTCGTATATCAGCGTCGGCACAATTGCCGATCGCAGGTGTTAATGAAATAAAACGAAAGTGATGTGAAGCAACCTGGGTCACAGGGTCGCATTGTAGCCATCGTAGCGTGCGTGGCGAGGCATGGCCCTTCACCATTGGCCTCGTGTGAGGAACGCACACCTGGGTTGTCCGAGTTTCACATCTACAGGGCAATCCCAACGCCGATAAGTAAAAAGGTAAAGATGCACCCCTGCAATTTCATATTCGTGCCAGCGCTGGTGGCAAGGCCTCCACTAGAAGGAGCAATAGAGTGCCCCTCCAGAGGGTATTTGGCCTACTCTTCCATCCTGGCCAGGCGTTTTGTAAGAGTTGGGAGTACCCACACTTTACCGTACCACACACGACCTACCGATCGTTTCTCTGTGGTGCGTCCATTTATACTGTCGGATGGATCGAGACGGGGGGATTTAAGATACTTGCACCATTGTTATAGCTTCTGTGCCGGGAGATGGGAGTCTAACCGGTGCACCCTGGATCGCAAGTCCAGTGTTGCAAACCATGATGCCACGGGCAGCAACCAAATCGCAGTGACTACAATGCAAAAACATTACGTTGAAACCTATTTACATCCTACAAAAGTATTAACAAATATAAAGTGCACCTGGTAGAAATCATCATCATCAATCTCCTTGCATCAAGATTCTCGTTGGTAACCAACCACATGTGTAATCATCTCCAAAAACTTATATTATAAATGTGTATTCTTGTAACCTTGGTCAACAAAAACCCTTAACTCTAACCCAAGTATATCACGGGTAGATCAGCACTAATACCCATCCATCAGAATCCTAATCCATCAAATATACAGTTTTTTTTTTAAAATGAACACCTTCACCATCAACACCATGACAAGTCAAGTGAACATTTACAGCACTCGCAGATTTCATTTTCATTACATCTCATTTCCGCACAAGCACAGCTGCAGGCAGAAAACCCACGGCTGCTGCTGCTGCTGCTGCCGCCGTTTGCATGGACTCTGCATGCAAAGCCTTTCTGCCAATCCACTGCTGGATGAGGGCTTCCCCGCACCGTACGGCTCATGGGCATCACTTGACCATACGCTGGTCAGCGCGGGTTGGCCAAGGCGGGGAGCAGAGATGCAGGCACACAGAAGTGCAGTACAACGACGGATTCTGCCGCACCGCCCCCTCTGCTGCCCACGACGTAGCCTCCGCAGCAGCCTGCAGCTCCCTGTCGGTGGTGCGCGATGGCCGCACGTCCGAGCAACTATCCAGGCTCATGGGCACCCTCCAAACTCGGCCCGCCAGCTCCGTGGGCCCCCGATCCGCATCTCCCATCGCCGCGCCCCCACCCTATCTCTTGAGCGAGTCAAGGAAGCCCTGCAGGGAGCTCTGGAAGGCGCTGATCATGAAGGCGCCCACCTCCGCGCCCGTCTCGCGGACGTCCGAGTCGAAGCTGCCGTAGAGCGGCGCCGACGTGGCGATGTCCCCGCGCTTGGCCTCGACCAGGATGGCCTCCAGCTCCCCCTGCACCTCGCGCAGCTTCTGCTGGTCGTGCGCCTCGAGGGCCTCGTCCGACGGCGGGAACTCGGTGCCCGCCGGGAAGCAGTCGGTGGGCACCGGGTACTCGATGACGCGGAGCGTCGGGTAGCCGGCGAGCCACGCGAACAGCCGCCTGAGGCCCAGGCGCGAGATGGGGTTGCCCATGAGGGCGAGGCGCTGCAGGCGCTGGCAGGGGCCGAGCGCGACGAGGACGAGAGCGACGTGCCGGTCGCGCACGTCGCACTCCTCGAGGCGCAGCGAGCGCAGCGTGAGCGCCGCGCGGTGCAGCAGCTTGAAGAAGGTGGCCGGGTAGAGGGCCGGGAGGCTGTGGCCGCTCAGGTCGAGGTCCTCGAGAGCCACGGCGTGCTCGCTGTTGGCCAGATACGCCAGGTCGACGTGGTTGAGCTCGCACCCCGACAGGTCGAGCACGCGCAGCGGGGCCTGCAGGGCGCTGCGCTGGTGCCACGCGGCCGAGACAACGAGACGTGAAAGTGAGACGCGGCGACAAGACACGGTTGATGATGCACGATGTACGTACATACGTTGGACTTCTTTCGCACCGTACGGTCAACCGCGCTAATTGGAGGTTGCGATGACGGGACGTGACGCGACGCAACATTGCACAGCTAAATAACACGCATGCAATGTGACCGAAAAATTACACCATATCACCCAGAATGGGCTATTGCACTTCGAATAACCCTGGGGTTCGCACATGATGATGAAGCTCGTCAATTTAAAATAGAAACAGCCCAATGATCGTTTGCGTTTAGTTGAGCTGCGCTTTAATAGCGCGGTGGTGTCGGTGCAGTGGTTTGTGATTGAGATGCAATGTCACATTTGTTTTGTATCTTGATCGTGGGCTATGTTGTGGGTAACAATCATTGCGTCTGGAAGAGAGCTGTTTTCACTGCCAAACAGAAAGCGTAATGTAAACAAAGTTAGACGAAGTCTAAATGCCCATAAATGGGCGTCGCTGATTGGCTGAGGGCATGCTCAGCCAATTTACGAGCGCTCGGATTGGCCGAAATTGGCACCCGCGTGTTAACGTAAACATACCGTTAACATACTAATAGGGTTTTTCCCCTTTTTTCTGGCAACAAAACTGACACCTTTTGCAAGGAAACATGTTTACATTAACCACAGTCAAATGCAAAATAAAACAACACTCTGGTAATTTATGCATTGTCCTTGGAATTGATTGGTCCACACCAGAGACAGCTTTTCTTAGAGCTTAGTCCATATGGGGGTCGACCAGATGACGCCTAAAGGCGTCATCTGCAAGTATTGTGGTTAATGTAAACATGATTCCTTGCAAAAGGTGTCAGTTTTGTTGCCAGAAAAAAAAGGGGAAAAACCCTATTAGTATATTTTGGTACTGGCAAAGGAGGCCTCATGATGTAGATACCGTTAACATTTTAACGATCGTCGAAACCATGGGGGTCCTATGGGAGGCGAAACGTTAACTGAAAAACCGTAAACTCATGTCACTGTTAACCGAATAACTACTTGTACTGTACTTCAATACGCTCCACATCTCTGCTCCCCCGCCTTCACCACAGTGAAGTAAGGTCAAATAACTCCCAGCACCCAAGCAGTATGAGGGGGCCCTCATGATACACGTCTGTATTTGTACACTAACAAAATTAAAATGTACGTTTTTAAATCTCGTGAATGAATCCCACAAGCATTGCACGGTGAGCTCTGCACTTGTTAAATCACCTAGATTGAAAAATTAATTCCTTTCCAACTGCTTTTTGTGTTTGTAGTCCTTCACCCGCACCTCCGATTAGCACGGTTGGCTACGCACGGTGCGAGAGAAGTCCAACGCACGTACATACGTACAACCCCGAATCCCGAGCTCACGCTGGGGCGAGCCCCTACCTGAGCAGCTGGCGCAGGTGTCCCGTGAGAATGGAGAAGGGCAGGTTGAGCTCCTGCAGGAGCGGCAGGCCAGCCAGGCCGAGCGCCAGCGCGTCAAGGTGAGGGTCGTCCGCCTCGTGGAGGTTCACGTCGACGACGCGCGTCGGGAAGGTGATGGCGCGCAGGGCCGGCATCGGGAAGTCCATGAGCAGATCCTCGAGCTGGCCCGGGCTCATCCGCACGTTGTGGACCAAGTCCAGACGACGCAGCACGGGCAGGTCGACCGCGCCAAGCAGATCGAAAATCTTGTCGCACGGCAGGCTGTCGGCTCGGAGCTCCATGCACCGGAGCGCCAGCGGCCCCGTGCCGCGCGCTCGCAGGGCGTCCATCACGACGCCGTAGTTGCGCTGCGTCACGAACGCGCTGGCCAGCACGTCGACGCGTCGAGCCGCGGCGCCCGCCTCCAGCTCCTCCTGTCGAGCCTCCACGCACGCCCGCGCCAGGGCCTCCGTGCGAGCCCAGCGGCCCATGCCGGCGCCGCACTCGCACTCCTGCGTCTCCGAGTCGCGCAGCCCCGTGAGGTCGACGAGGCGCAACGGTCTCCCGTAGCGCACCGGAGTCGCCGCGGGGCCGCTCCGGTCGTCCCGCACGTGGTCGCAGAGGCCGGCCAGCAGCGCCTGCAGGCACAGGCGGCACGTGCGCCGGCGCAGGTCCTGTTCCCAGTCGGGCGTGCGGCCCAGCAGCTGGCCCACGCTCAGTATCGGCAGCGGCCAGTGGCGCACGATGAGGCGCAATGCTTCCGGTTGCTCCTCCAGGAAGGACACCTTGAAGAGGAGAGGGTAGAGATCGTGCGACACCTGCGGCAGTACGAGACGAGCGTCCGTTTCGTGTCGCAGCAGCACCCGAGCGCTCGCGAACCGCAGCGACTTCATCGCGCCCGCACCCTGGGCGGTCATACTGGAAACTGTGTTGCCCTCGCAGATGCAAGCCGGTCTTAACGCACTCGCGCGATGGTCAGGTGGCCGTCTGCGCAGATGCGGCTAAAGTTAGCGGCAAGTATTTATAGCGGGGCGCGTGATCGAGAGCGCTGCCGCTGTCTGCAGCTGTCGAGTGTTTACACGGCAACTTCACATTGGCCACGGGACGAGGGGCCAGTGGGAGCGCGGGGTGTCTGTGGACAGAGGATCCGGTGTTGGCGTGCTCCAAGGTTAACCTACCAGTGGACGATGAATATCTGCGCATCTGCGGGGATTGCAGCTGGCAACAGTGTATCGGTAACTTGCTTCCGAGCGCACGAAAGGGAGCGGGGGTCAATAACATCGTTGAATATTTTATTGCGATGAAAAGTAACAGCAAACATGTATCAAAGTTTTTTTTTGTTTTACATCAAACATGACACACATTACACAATTTTTTTTAGTTGGCTTCATACAAATTTATGTTCTAGCCCATCGATCAAAACAGTAACCATTTAAAAAATTCAAATGTATCCATTACACACAATATTGAGCACCATAATCCCACAGGACCCAATTCTTACATGTAAAAAGCATAAAAGTGAAGACGATGGAGCCTTAATGAGGTTTAGGGAACAGCCTGACATTGTAAAAAAACTAAACTATTTTTATTTTACCAGGCAAGGCCCACTGAGCTATGTAGCTCTTTTTCAGAAGCGACCTTCCCACAAATGAGAGACAAAGTGGTTTATCGTGTGGAAAACTATAGCAGCCAAATACTCTACATGCATGTTGAGTCTAAATGTGGAAGGGAAAACCAGAGGACCCGGAGAAAAATTCATTCGACCACGGGGAGACATGCAAACTCCAAATATACTGGCGTCATGGTCGGGATCGAATCCGCGACCTGTATACCAGGCGAGGTAGTTTACACCTTGCCACCGGGGTGCCGTCACTACTGGACAGCACTTCACAACTGCTCCACGGGGGTCACCTTGGGACCAACATAGTCACTCTGCCAACAAAGAGGTCACGGGGAAACACAAATCCATCGACAGGAAATATCTGCGAGGACGAACTTTACACTTTTACACTCGTCTTCGTGTTTGTGGCCTCAGACAGGAAGCAACACGCGACACTGATTTCCTGCAAAAGGTGAATCCGGGGAGCAGTTTGCAGGAGAATTAAAATCCAAAAGTGTTGCCGCTCACAAACCGCAAGGGCCGAGTGCGTTTTACAATGTGGTGGTCACATGACAAAGCATTCAAGCCACGATGGGAGTCGTGCCTTCTCTGCTGTTTGTGAGTAGCACGCCTTCGTGTTATGTTAAATATACGTGCGCAGAAAAATAGGCAGGTCTTCTGACGATGGGGGTCATAGCACCATGGAGGATGGATCCTGGTCCTTTCAAAGCTGGGCCCCTTCCACAAGGCTCAAACCTTGATGAGAGAACACCCCCACGGGTAACGTGGCTCCTATAGCACCAGTGGGCACCACGTAGATACACAAAGCGAGGTACCTGGGAGACCACCGCCTCCTCCGCCACCTCTAAACGCGGTAGGGCACCAAACTCCCCAGTGCCCGGACTGCGATTGCCCTGCCCATGATATACGAGACGCGTTTTCCCATTACAATTCCGCCGTACACCGGTCTTCTTATTCTGTACATTTAGCAATATCCGCTTGCAGGGAAGGCTCTTTGGATGCAGGCTTCATGTGTCCTACCCTCACCACCTGACTTAATCCACACTCTACCCACAACCCCTCACTTCCGTCTCTGCACTGTATGATCGGAAGCAGCATAGGCTAGTGCCACCATTAACTAAGAAAGTCGAATTACAGCGAAGGTAGAACAAGTGCCAGTGTATTTATCCCTTTCCTCTTGTCGTGGAGTTAATTAACACTCTCCCACAGCAGATCTATAAAATATCCACACCTGACAATGGGAACCTTGGACGCCAAGTGGCAGCATCCAGAGCTCGGCAGCACAGTAAATCAGCAGCGTGCCAGGGTACGAGGCAGCCAGGAGAAGTAGTGACCTGGAGCGAGGTGTTGGCCCTCTACCAAGGACCAGGCTCCAATACTGGGGCTTGGTGGGGGAGCCATTGTCCCTCCCTCTATCCTGGACTTTTGTGCTCCGCTAAAAAGACAGTGCGGCATTGTGGGTGCATTAAATCAGGTGCCGGAGGTAGGCACATGAGGCCCGCCTCCAAAGAGCCTTCTCTACATATGTTCTGTAGTCTTGCGGGATATTGCTAAATGTAAATAATAACACCGGTGAATGGTGGAATTTACTGAAAAAAAAAAGTTTTACAAAGGTACAAAACCTAATTTTAGTTCTCATGAGCACCACAGATGAAGTGTAATCAAACTGCATCGAGGCAAGCGATAGTTTCTGTATTCCAAAGACACGGGTGGCTCGGCCATGGCTTGGCTGAGTCTCAACTCGTGGGAATCCTGAGCACAGCTCGGACCATGCTCAGAGCTACCTCAAGTTGAGCGTGGCTTTGAACCGGCCCACTCGATCCAGAACCAAACTACGTGGCATCGTGTGACACCTGTTAGGACAAAGACGTGTTAACTATTAAATAAACTGCATAATCCGAAAATTCCATAACACATGATCCAAAATTGCCCCTAACAATCCAAAATGTTATCGAAACCTCATCCTGAGTGCATATGCGTGTGGGCAGGCAGCAAGGGAAAGTCTGATGAGACGTTGGATGGGTGATGGGCGGATAATGAATGGGGGAGCCCTCGCGTGGAGCTCACAGCACCGCGTCACTCTGCGGGGCCTGGCAAGAGCCTCTCCCGCAGCTCCTGCAGCTCGGCCGGGGTGCGGTGCAGCCTCTTGAGCCCCCGCGGTAGATTCCGGCATGACGTGAGGTTCACAGATGACAGCCGAGGACAGTGCCGGAGCACGGCACTGGCAGAGAAACAGGGATGGGGACAGTGTTTACCGGCGGTATAGATGTGGCAAGAACAGCAGTGTGGATCTGGTGTGGCAATATTCAAGTCCTACACCAGGGCTCTTGCAATAATATTTTCTGGTGAGACGTGTAGAATACTGGTGTGGCACACCACGTCATAATGTGTGTGCACGTCATCACTAATCTATACCTCTTGTCGACAGCTGTCTCATCTCCGTCCCTTGTTTACATCCCTTTCATTTTACATTGGATCTCATGGCCTCGACTAGCCATATAGCTTGGCGGGTCTCTCCAAGAGGCTTTGCTGGCCACGTTTGGCCTACGGGGCCACGAGTTGAAGGACCCTGTCGAATAGCAATGGTTCGATTTGGCTAACGTAGGAACACAGTGAGATGGTAACGGTTTGGCGAGATCTTCATCCAGCAGTGGATCGGTCGGGAGGCCATCCCCGCCCCCCTTGTGTTGTGTTGCGAAGAGCGCAGCGCAGGCCCCTACCTGACCCCGGCGACGGTGGCCACGGTGCCCGCGAGGTTGAGCGCCTCGAGGCGACTGGCCGCGCGCGGCGCCGCCAGGCTGAGGAGGCCCTCCTCCAGCTCGGCCTCTCGGCAGGGCTGGGAGTTGACGTCGAGCGCCGAGAGGCTGTGGGCCCAGCGAGCGAGCACGAGCTGCACGTCGCGTTTGAGCCGCGCCTCGCATGCCGTGCCGAGGTACAGGCCCAGGTACAACTCCTCGAGGTCTGCGGGCCACCGCACGATCGACAGTGCGGGGTTCAGTGGCACAGCGTGGTTGGCGTGGCACCGGCGTTGGTGCAGGGAATTAAATCGGCCAATTTCCCCCTCACCTGTTCGTGGCCCCGGTACCTGGGTCCCAGAACAGTTGCACCACGCCTCCCGAGTTTTTGATCGAACAATGGTGTTTCTTATTATTATACACTTGATGGTTACACTACTTTGTGATGGTTTTGCTGGTGACAACAAAGGTGGTGGGTTATGGTGGAGTGGCCTGCTTCTTGTATGCGCGTCATTCTTTATCTGGCTGTAGCAGACCGCTTTGAGAAACCTGGAGCTGTCCATCCGAATCACGTGTCCTGCTCAACAGAGTTGTGACTGTAAGATCACTGTCAGTTTTAATCATGTTGTCTCCGAAAACACCTCCGTCTCACTGTCTGTGAACCCTGCCTTGGCGCTCCATTTTACAAGAACATGTGTTGTGTCTTTTTATACCAGCGCCCCCCCTCCCACAAGGCACATGGTCACCGCGTTTGTTATCGTCACCGTAGCAGGGCAGCTGCAGCAGGCACTTGGGCGTGATGGAGGGGCAGCCGCGCAGGTCCAGCAGCCGCAGCCGGGGTGAGCGGTGCAGCAGCTGCCACAGGGTGGTGTCCGCCATGGAGGAGCGGTCCATGGTGGCCAGGCTGAGCTCCTGCAGCTCAGGGAAGCCGCCCGTGTCCTGGTCCAGTTGCACGCGGCCCGATGGCGTTATGCACATGTTCATCAGCCGCAGAACCTACGCCGGGGAGAGGGCAGAGGCACAGTGTTAACAGAAGAGAGTGCCGGACGAGATGGAATAACGGTAAAATCGGCAAAGAAGTGGGAAACCAGCTATTGGGTGAATACTCTTTGGTTCTATTCGGTAAAGTCACGTAGGTGAAAAATAAAGTCACCTACGTGACTTTACCGAATAGAACCAAAGAGTATGGATCCTTGCAGTCACGAAAGCTTCAAATCTAGTATTGGGTGAAATTTGGTGGAACTATTTACCAAACGTTTATACAGAATATTTACTCATAGACCTCTGCACTAACGGACATTGACCAGCGTGGTGAACAACAACAAGATCAAAGCATGATTTATCCTTTATGTAACCTGGAGTGGCTAAATACAGGCCCATTGAGGCGCATGAAACATTGTGACCTGTGAAGGCCCGGTGCGGCATGTGATAATGACATGGGACGTGGTTGCAAGTGCGGCACCTGCAGGTGCGGGCAGCCATTCTGGAGTCGCGTGAAGGGGAAGCTGAGCGTGGGCAGCTTGTGGGCCGACATCTCGGGGCTCATAGGCATCCGCGTGTCCACCTCCAGCACACGCAGTGCCGGGCAGTTGCTCTGCCAATCGTAAACCACACCTCACCTCACTCACTGCTCCACAACTCGCAAGGACACTCGGTAACACAACAGCATTACTATGACTTGGGGTGGCATGCTCTCGTCAGATATGGAAGGTTGAGCAGAGTGCTCGGATGCATGTCCACCAAGCAAAAAATAGGTGTCGTCGGCTGTTTCGTGGGTTATTTTATCAGTACAGCAACATATAGTTGTACTGTACTTCTAAGGTCGCACATCTTTGTTCCCCACCTTCACCAACCCACACTGACCAGCATGGTGCAGTACAGTCAAATGATCCCCACAAATCGCATGATGAGCAGTGGCCCTCATCCAGCAGTAGATTGGGGGGGGGTGCTGGTTGAACACGTACAGTTGGGCCGTGTTTTACGGACTCCAGTGTCACATGCTTCAGTAGTCATCCCAAAACAAGCTTATCCCGTGAGCTGCAAGTATTCAAATCGAAGAAACCGGAGCTCACACCAGGTCTGTGTACTAATTACAGCTCATATTCTAAGCCGTACTTGTTTACTCCAAAGTGTGTGCGTGAGGAATGGGGCACTGCTTTACACCACTCAATTCAGGCCACCTCCTCCCCCCCCTCCTCTTTCTCACGGCTCCTTGGCCCTGTGGCCCCGCAGCCCTCTCGGTGACGTACGGAAATTGCTGTGAGGATGCCGTTCAGGTTGTTCGATGCTGTGAGCCACAGCCTCTGTAGGCGATCGCCAGCAGCCTCCAGAAACGCGACGGCAGAAGATATCTCCACCTGCACGACGGGGCACGAGACAACAGGACGCGAGACGCTGGCACCGTCTGTGACCGGTGTGGAGCCTGCAGGACACCGGTGTTCACCCACCACCACTATACACAACATCCTCACCACTCCCGCCACTTAAGTGTTTCACTGGGTGAGTTCACTGGTCCTGCGTTTGCAGCGTGGCCATGTGTTTCAATATTTAATCGACGACGCAAGTGTCACATCCTCCAGGGTCCACCAAAAAACGTGAGCCAAGACTTTAGAATAGACTTAAAACAGAGTTGTTCCAAAAAGTTTACTGCGTGATCAATGCGTGTTTGTGATGGACCGTACTCAAAAGAGTGCATGATAACACATGTTCACACAATGACATTCGCGTGTATTAAAGTCGAAGCAACTGTAGCCCATGGCAAGTCAGTTTAAGCACAAAACACAGCTCACAATGAAAACTGGACTTATTTTCGTTGTCATCTTTCTCTTTGAATGCATGTAAAAGCCTATACAGTGCGTTCAATTTCACACAGCAAGAGAGCAGTCTGTACAACGGTCATTTATTTAAAAGCCGTGCAGACTTAAGTCACGCGCTGCGAAAGAAAAACTATTGCACGTGCGCTGAGACAGACTCCACACCTGTCACCGAGATTTCATCCGCTGGCAGCAACAGCAAGGGCAGATGAGAGGTTGATGTGGGGGTGTGCATGCTGCCTGCCCACGGGGAGGAGTTGTTTACGGAAAGGAGAGAGGCAGAGAGTCGCGCGTGGGTCAGGGCAAAGCGGACGGCTCCTTACGCTGGTGTCCTTGAGGTCCAGGCTGTGCAGTCCGGCACAGGATTGGCCGAGCAGCAGCAGCGTCTCGTTGCCCGGCTTGGCGCAGCGATTGAGGCGCACGCACGACAGCTGGTGGCACTCCGAGCTCACAACCTGTGCGTTAAAAACCAGGGGCAAGGTTGGAGGCGGAGCGATTTGTGTTGTATTTATTATTTAATGTTTTGGTTTTGCAATCGAATTCCACTTGTGCCATCGTCTTTCACGTTGCGGGGTCAAATCTACATTTGGCGCTCTTGCAGAACACGGTGTGCGTCATCACCCTTGCTAGAGAACAGCCACTGGAAACCGACATCGCTGACCTACTTCTGAGGTCTTCATTTGTTTTTTACCCACGTCAGTTGTCTGTCATATCATACACCATGCTATGGAGATATTCGCTGCATGGCAATCACTCAATTATGATTTTCCATGAGAGTTGACGTGTACCGAATTAAGTGGGGAACAAAAATCCCCCAACAGTTCACGGTTATTTCATGCAGCCGATTGGTGACTTTCACAGTACATGATGCCGAACAACATGCGAAAAGCGGCACACACATCAAAGAGATAAAATAATTTAATCATGGATGGTTGCCCAGCCTTCAACCGAGGATCTCAATGATACCAAAACAGTATTCCAACTCTTTGAGCCCTGAGCCACATAGCATCTCTGTGACTGTGGTTCAAGGATTGATCCTTTACCATGTACAGTAATCCATTAATATTCACGGGGTATATGTTAATGGAGAATGCCGCAAATATTAAATCCAGGAATATTAATACTCAAAGCTCATAATGAAAATAGGGTTTGGGGTTATAAACATATATTGTTTAAATATAGACATATACACTTCACGTGTATATATTAACACATTGTATCATGTGTTATTCAACTTAACTTTAAAAATTATGAACATAAACATATTTAAAAGTGCAAATACCAATGAATAAATATTCTATGCTATTATTTAAACGTACGTTTTATATGTCACTTCCTTTTCGCTTAGGGGCAATGGTTCACGCTAACACATTACATATTTTAAAAAATTGAGAGCAATCGCGTGTAAACAGTGCAGCAGAAATGTTTGTTCTACCATTGACCAGTAGATTGACAAAAGACTAGGTTATATTTATTTTCATTAAGTGATGCCCTTTACCCGTATGGCGTAGTCCACCATCTCCTGGTCATTCCAGCCACTCAGATGAAACTCCTGCATCAGAGGCAGCCTGGGGAGACACAAAGCCATTCCACCATCAGTACAACCACCGCTGACAACTATTGGGTGTACGCGATTACCATTTTTCCATTGGCAAAAACAACCCGGTACCTTCCTTAACCACGCCGGCCTAGCTTCGACACAGCCACGGCGGGGGCTCAGACGAGCCCGTGGAAAAAGGAGTAGAATGGGACATCACCTGTTTGAGACGAGCCAGGAGAGGGTGCTTTTAATCTGGCTCTTGGAGGAGGAGCGACCCATCAGCTGCGGCTCCACACAGCAGCGCGAGATCTGCACCCGGCGCCATAGCACAGGGCTCGCCGCGGCGCCACGCCACAGCCAGCAAACGCGCGCCGCCCTGCAGCCGGTCATCACTGTCCATCGTCATCATCGTCGTCGTGGTTGTCTGCAGCTGCGCTCATTCACACATTTGTGATTTCTCCATTCAAAATTAGCTTTGACTAAATCAACAAAAATGTGTAAAATTTCATTAGATCTGGGGGTAAATCAGAAAACCTTGGTGGAAATGTATTATTAAACTAACTCAAAGACAAATTAAGACCATGGAACGTCTTACGTGGGTCCCATGTATCATGGTATTGGAATAGATACAAGCAGTGGCGTAACTTGTTTGGCACGGGCCCTCGTGTAAAGAATGAAATGGGGCACGCTGTCCACACCGCCCCTCTCGGTCCTCATAGTCCGGTGGTTTGGCCCCTCCGGCCTTTGAGCCCCAGTGCAGCTGCACCGCCTGCACACAAGAAAGCTACGCAATTGCACACAAGCGCGCACAAGGGTGTGGCGAGACCGCCGATTTCTCTGGCGTGTCCCGAGTGCGCTCGCACGACGCGCCTCTAACCTGCAGAGGAACGGGACGGGACCATCCTCGTCCACGACGCACTGGAAAATCATGACGAGCACCGCCTCGGGTAGACGCGTCCCCCAGCCGACGTCTTCCTCCTCCGCGAGCACCGTCCCGGTCAACAGGCATGGGGGGGCACAAGAGGAGACACGAGGTTAAAGAACAGGGATGAGAAACCTGCAGCCCCTGGGCCAGATAAGGGTCCACCGACTTAATTTCACAACCACACTTTGAAGTGGAACACAATGTTATTTATCCTCAACTGCTCTCGAGTCACGCGAATATTTCGGAACTGTGACCCGACATCAGCATGTCAGTGAGAGCAGGACAGCAGGTGCAAGCATCTCATTTGTGCATGAGTGCGGTAAAGGTGACCCGCTGATTATTCTTCCTATTATTGGATAACACTGAGGTGAGTTAATGTGCAACCTGTCAAAGGTATTTTGAAAGTCCTACTAAGGTGACAGTAAGGAAAAGTTTTCCCGCCCAAGCATAGCGATGTTAAGGTTGCCTTTTCCCCAGACATTGTAAGACCATGCAGGTTAGTGACCTCAGAGTTGTGCAAAGAAAACGTGACCATAATTTGTGTTATCATCATTTACTATTTATACCACACAGGCTCGGCTCCAGCCCCTCTTGGATGGGGAGGGGGTGCAGTGGAGCTGCTGTGTGGGGGGCCATCGTAACAGTGATCTATACTGTTAAAGGGCATAGGGTCAATAGGTCGAGCAGGGCCAACCCCAGCACTCCCCTGGCGCCAGGCCTGATACCACACTGCCCATGCAATACATCTTGAAGCGTGTGATAAACACAACTGGGAAAGTTATTATTTAAGTCATTTTTAGATGCTTACGAGTAGACGGTGTTCCCATGACTCATCCGTGCACTTGTGAACGAGACCAGTCTCAATGCCTCAGTGGAATTTTGCCTGCTCACAAACATATCACTTACCCCCATAGGTTCTCTTTTGGAACCCGAGCCTCCGGCCTTGTCGACCTCCAACACAAACTTGCTCGAATTATCGCTCGTCTCTGCTCTTTTGGAGGCCGTGCTCTTGACGCGCTTTCTCTTGGCAAGCGTCTTCAACTTCTTCCCTTTGCCGCCGCTGTTCTTACGCTTCGCATCCTTCTTGGCACCGGCGCTCACCCTCCTCCTGCCGCTTAGCACCGATCCGCTCCAGCTCGTCTCGATCACGAGCATGTCGTTGTCCGTGCGTTGCACCACGGTCAATTCAGCCTGAGAGGTGCGACTAGTTCGGGGCTTCTTGGAGACACCGCTGTCAATCGCCGCCGGCGCTTTTCGCTTGGCGGACGGCACAGTGCCGTCCTCTCTTGAGGCCATCCGAGCGGCTGCAGCGCGAGGGAGGATGGGGGAGAGTTTCTTGGCGGACGGCGCCGCTCCTTATTTCTGGGCCTCCTTTGATTCCAACATGCGTTAAAGACGGCAGGTTTCAGCACAAACACAGGAACAGATTTCAACAACATCAGAAAAAGCCAACCTTTGATTAAATTACCCAGGATGCACCCGATCTCGCCAGATCTCAGAAGCCAAGCATGTTTGGGCCTGCATCATGCTTACATAACTGGTGTAATTGACTGCTGCTAGGCTATGCTGTGGGCATGCAGAGGTCAGTCCAGCAAAACCAGTTGTTTCACTGTACTGTTGCCCTGCAACGTTTTTTCCCCGTCATCACCGACTAGCATTGACCAATGTTAAGTAGGGTTAAATAACCCCAATGGACCGGATCCCCCCTCTGTCATCTGCCTAGAATCTCACGCAGATCCAAATACTGTAGTGGGACAACGTGGACCTCCAGTGATAAACACCTCTCATTCGAGACCCAAACATCGCACCTCCTGGCTTTGACATTCCTTAAAAATACTGGTAGTGTAACATTGAACCACATCAGAATATCAACAGGCCTGATGCTCACATCTTCTTCATTAACGGTAAATTAACGAAAAACCAGTGGGATTGTGGCCATACAACCCAAACTATAGACCATATCGTAAGCAACTGTAGTCTGCGCTCCTTCAATGGAGGAATCGCAAAACTACACAAACTCTCTCTCCTGAAGCCCTCTCGTAGCTGGGAGGGCTCGATATTGAGCTCCTGAACATATTAATGCCATACGCAAGATAACACACACTGGAGGAAGAATTAATATAGGATTGGAGGACTAATTTGAAGATCGGTTAAAGGAATGGATGAAGGAATGAATTACTCGTGGGAACTGATGGATGATATAGTGAATGACTGGTAGTATCAATGAACCCGATTCAGCAACGGGATATGATAAAATGTCGTAATATAATTATCACGGAATTAACCGAGGTTACGAATCATGCACGGACATATCAACCCATCGAACCACGAGTGAATGGCGGATAACGGAATTAATTCGATTTAAAAAATTTATATATAACCCAAATACTGCACACAATCAACGGCTGCTGCCGCATTGATGGCATCAAGGCAAGGGGAGCGTGTCACGGGGCGACTACATGGATTAATAATCATAACAACAAAAGCGGTTACCCAAGGGGTGGAGGCGACGCCTCCAAGGCGGAGGGCCTTCGTTGTGCCCCGGGGGTGCCGGCCGGCCCCGTCGCCGTCAGACGCGGGGAGCCGCGCGGCTGCGGCCATCGGCAGCGAACGACGCCAGGGTGTGCTTCGCCGCGTCGGGACGCCGAGGCAAAGGCGCTCCCTCCCTGTTACAAAAACAAAAATTTGGTTTAAATTAGATTGTGTTTGTTGTGCACGATAAGGCCTTAGTAAGAGAGCCGCACCCCCCGCAGTTTGACCGCCGTGGGAGACGCGCGCCCGGGCGATGTTCTCACTTCAACTTCATGGCAATTGCATGGAGTCTTCGTCGTCGTCGTCGTCCTCCCACCCCAACCCCCGCCTGCTACGGCCGCTCTCAAACACTCGACAATGTCCGTCGCGACCGCGGGGGGCGGCGCGGCACACTCGTGAAGCCATTCGGTCGTCGTTAAGTGGGGGGCGCGAACTGGAACCACCCCGGCAGCCGCTGCCGTCTTAGCCTCGGCGTGATAGAACCTCCTGCTCCGTCTACCTCTGAAGCGGCGACGTTATCACTGACAAGCCGAGAGCCGCGCGGTGCGTCGCTGATAACGGTGATGGGGGGGGGGAACAAGTCGATTGTCACGGATCGGCACGCTCAGCAAACCCATTAAGTCGACCATTCATTCGAGTTAGAGCGAGCTTACGAGGCCGAGGTAGAGATTGCAGCCAGTCAACACGGGGGGCCTTCCCTGAGCAAGATGGCGAGGGGGTTCCGTGTCCACACAAACACACGTGGCGACTTCCCTGAGCAAGATGGCGAGGGGGTTCAGTGTCCACACATACACACACGGGGCGCCTTCCCTGAGCAAGATGGCGAGGGGGTTCAGTGTCCACACACGGGGCGCCTTCCCTGAGCAAGATGGCGGCGCGGCGCCTCCACGAGGAACGTCGCCTTCCTCTTGCCCCTCCGTGGTGGTCATCACCCGCCACGCACGTGCGGCGCGGCGCGAGAACTCGGCGATGAGTGCCAAGCGGCCGGCGGGCGGCGACTTACGAGAGCCAGAGGCGACCACCACCACCGCCGCGAACAACAATGACAACGCCAAGAGGAGGAAGGAGAAGGAGGCGGGAGACGATGATAGGGAGGAGGCGAGAAGCGAGATGGCCTCGCTGAGCGAGAGGATACTGAGCTCCGCGGTGCGGAGCCGGGCGAGCGCGGCGTGGAGAGATGGGGCGCCTCTTGCTGAAGGTGAGCGAGCGAGAGAGGGGGAGCTCGGTGCTCCCATCGTACTCCCCCCATCTGTTGGGGGTGCCACGATACACAGGGCAAACTGGACGTGGTTATTCTCCCCCCCCGCACCACCACCCCAATAACAAATCGCTGAGGGTGGCCTGTGGTGAAGAAGGCATTTTGGTTTCACGAGTACCGTAGTTTAAACACGTCCAGTGCATTCCAAGTTCTAAAGAGTCGCTCAGGTGGAGGATTGAGGACGCTGTGGGGGCCTCGTTCAGCACGAGAGAAGTTGCCGGCTCAAGGGGAACCTGTACTGGAGGAATCCGATGAGCTATAAAGCGTTTTTTTGTTTTACAGATGTCCAGTACCAAGCCGCTTGTTCCTTCATTAAATAACTTTCATCCGCATGTCCGATTATATATCATTAACACGGTGTTTCTACGTACGGTGCGAAATCAGTTTTAACATAAATACAGAAGACAGCAGGGTTGAATGTTATAGTCGTCCACAATTATGGTGTTGATTGAGCTTGAGACAACGTGTGTACCTGTTTTGTTATCTGACGATTATCTAAACCGGTCCTGGGCCTCCCCTAGGTCGACTCGGCCTCAAACGAGTACCTGGTGCCGTGTGTACTCAGCGTTGATGATGTGTAAACATCGCCACGAGGGAGACAAAGGCGACCCCAGGCCGGCCTTCATTAGATGCTGCTCCAGTCAACCCCTTATCAGTGCCTACCTTATTTCAGACCAATTCCGACCACCTTATTGGTCATCCTGTGCACTTATAAATCCCAACGTTCATCCAACAAAGTCCTATCACGAGGGATACACACAAACAAATAGATACAAAAATATGTTTGTTTTTTTTGCCCGTTCTGAAACTGTACAAGAATACGGGTAAACCGTATGTGTTGACACGGTATGCGAACAGCAACTTGCCCCAACAGCCAGCCTGTACGGGTGTGGGGATCTTTGTGTGTGTGTGTTACCCCAGAGATGGGGCTGGAGGTGTGCCCCGGCCCGTTCCCGCACACCGTGATCCCCAACTTCTTGCAAGACGAGGGCGGCTTCCTGGGGCGACTCCAGCGAGAGCTTCTCGCCCTCGACTTCCATCATAAGTCCAACGACCTCTACAAGTTCCAGCAGGTGGGCCTCAATCACCGCAATGTTGTCGGCTCAAGGGATTTGGCTACTTGTACAGTAAAGCCTTGGATTGCGAGTAACATGGTCTGCGAGTGTTTTGCAAGACGAGCAAAATTTTTGAATAAATATTTATTTGATAAACGAGCGCGGTCTTGCAATACGAGTAGTACGTATATACGCTTTGTCTGCCGAGTGTCACGTGATCACAACTGATATACGAGTGCTTTGGATTACAAACACGTTTCCGGAACGAATTATGCTCGCAATCCAAGGTTTTACTATACTTTGTTCCGTGCCCCGATAGCACATCTTTCGCTTGAAATCCCCTCCATCCTGTCCAATCTTGGAGCTTACTTAATATCTGTGTGCCATGCCCGCTTCCTTCAAGTCATACAGCAGCATATTTATCTGCCTCTTGGCCTCTTTCTTTCCACATCGTTTGTCTTTTCTGGATTGTTCTAATTTCTCTTCTCTCCTTCTGAACCTGCCCCGGAACTTCCACATTTTGCTTTCTCTCCATCTGATATTTTCCAATTGATGTGATTGCTCACATGTGAAGACTTTTAAATATTTGTATTTATATATATGTAAAAAAAATTCCGCACGCAACATTACAGTTCTTTGTAGGTCCTTCACGAGTTTCTTCGTGAACTCTCTGCCCATTCATCTTGTCTGCTGCATTCTTCTCTTGCTGAACGCTGCTTTTCCCACGGCAAACTCGCTCACCTCTTGAACATCTATAAACATTCGTTAAAGGCTAGCAAAAAAGTTAAAGGTGTGACGGTATGGGGAGCCCTTCATCCAGCTAATTGATCATAGCTGATAATTAATCTTTATATCTCTAGCATTGATGACGATGACCTTGCTGTGTGTTTCTTTCACACAGTCGGATGACTTGAAGGAGAGGCAAGAGCCATGCATCTCTGCACTAAGGTTTGTGTCTTTGCATTACTCATTCAGGGGAATAGTGTTGGATCCATAATTAGCAGCTCAGCACATCACGGCAATCCCTTAAATATATGCACAACTCAAATTATACACTTCGAGCAGTAATACATTCCTTTGTCAAACAGTCATCATCAGTTATAATTTATTCTGTGCCTCGCATGCAGTAGATCTTGAGGCATCAATCCACTGCTGGAGGAAAGTGTTCCCATGCTACGTGGGTCATGGGGTTATCTCCATATATATAAAATGCAAAGTTGTGATTATGTGTGTCTGTTCAAAATGTTTAGCGTACTTCCCGACATGCAACAAACTTGAAATTTGCCATGTGGGTACTTTCCAGACTGTACACTATGCAAAAATGATAAAAACACACTTTTGCTTTTTTTTTGCACGGTAAGTGAGCTGTGACGTCAAATCTGTCACGTGACCTGCACATGTGGAAGCGTAACGCATGGTAGTGTAGTGGTTAGCGCGCCACGCTACGAACCCGGCGACCCGAGTTCGATTCCCGCTCACGGCCACCACCGGTGACGATTATTTTTACCGGTCCTGGGCCTCCCCTAGGTCGACTCAGCATCAAACGAGTAACTGCTCTGCTGTGTGAACATCGCCACTGGGGGGACAAAGGAGGCCGGGCGTGGTGCTGGCCACCCACCCCCTCGTGTGCCGTGCCGGCCTTCATAGGTGCTCGCTAACAGTACTTGCCCCCTACAGTCTCACAGGCTACACGGGGGATCTTTGTCTTTATCCTGTGTGTGTGGGGGGCAGTGACTGCATTGTGATTCACGCGCTGCGCTACGAACCCGGCCACCCGAGTTCGATTCCCACTCATGGCCACCACCGGTGACGATTGTTTGAACTGGTCCTGGACCTCCCCTAGGTCGACTTAACCTCAAACGCGTAACTGGTGTGGTGTGTGAACATCGCCATTGGGGAGACAAAGACGGCCGGGCGTGGTGAATCCCCAAGTCCCGGGCGAAGCCGGGTATTTAAGCTAGTTAGATCATACTTTAAGATAGTCAGTGCGGGTGGGTGAAGGCGGGTAGCATAGAAGTACACGTGCACTGCCCTCTGCTACCGACAATGTAGCCCCTTAAGCATTTAAAATGCCAGCGGACAACAAAATCACTGCGCAGTTAACATTCTCGTCGGCGATTAAATACCTTGGGAAACTTTTTAGTGGTAACACGGCGATCAGCTGATTGACCGGGTGCTTTGGGTTTGTAATGTTGCTCCTGCTGGTGGTGCGGCCACCCCAGGACGGTGCTCTACCAGGATTTCCGCGCATGGCTGTCGGAAGTTCTCGCTGTGGAGCTTGAGGACACTGTGGACATGTTTTGTGCCAAGTATGACTACACAGGTGAGCGGCGACACAGTGTATATGTATGTTGAACTTCTTTTGCACGTACGTAGCCAACAGTACTAATTGGAGGTGCGGGGGAAGGACAACAAGAGACTGAGAGAGAGCACGCAGAAGAAGAACACAGTCTTTGTAGATATTGCACACTTGTGCTTAGCAGCAAGAAAGGTCTTGGTTTGATTCCCGACTCGGACGCCTTTCTGTGTGGAGATCTCCACCTATTCTGGATGGGTTTCTTCTAACTTCTCTGGTTTCCTCTCATCAATAAAAAAAGCATAAAACGTAACTAGTAATGGCCAAACATCGCAATGCGAACATGTATTCCTGAAAATGGCATCATTAGGATTCTACATAGGAACATAGTCTCCCACTTGGCTAGGCTGCAGCAGTGAAATTTAATGGTTGAAATGAGATGTGATGTAAGGTGCTTTGAGTTGCTGTGGCATTTAAGCACCCCATC